ATTCTGGGTTTTGGCTGCAAAGACTGATAATCGATTATTGCATAGCTGATAAGCGATTATTGCGTGCTTCAGAACTTTGGAAGTTCAAAGCTGCAGGGGCTGATAGTCGATTGTCACTAAGGTGATAATCGATTATCACCCAGCTAAAGTCTAGCCAGCTGAAACCCGTTTTGAAAAACCGAGGTCCAAAAATGAAGTGTTCCCAAAAGTAAAAACCAGGTTTTAAAAATATTGTATATGGTATAAAATAGTGAAAACAAGACTTGTTTGGTAAAAACCAAGTCTCCAAGGTCGTACAATACGTGCGTACGGTTTTGACCGTTTTTCACGTGTTAAACCGATTGACCAAGATACAAAAGTGGTTTTTATAAAATGATTATTTGGGAACATTTTAAAAAATGCTCAGAGGTAAAAACATGGTTTAAAAAATTGAAAACCACGGAGTTGGTTCGGGTGTCGAAAGCCGAACGCCGACTTAGGTGGTTTCGGTTCTGAGCAAGGACCAGGGATTTTAACGATAAAAGAAATCATCAAAAATGTTTGTTTTGATGCACAAAAAATATTTTATGATTTGTAAAAATTGTTTTAACTTTTTGAGAATCGAGACTTGATTTATTGTCAGTTTTGATCACAAAAGACCGACTCGACTGAGTCTTCAATTCTTGATCTTGTCCTTGAGTCTTTTAGGTCTTGTTCCAAGAGATCTTCACGCCTTGAGTTATTCAACGAAACTCTTTATATCCACGCTGGTTTGGCAATTATCAAAACCTGTCAGAAATGAACACGATTTTAGTTTATCGTACAAAGTGTGTTTCAACAATTTCCACCTTTTTGATGGGAAACAAGACGGGGATATGCATAGGGTTTGGATCTTTTTGAAAAAAAAATTCCCCCTTAAAAAAATTCCCCCTTATGCATAGCCCTTATCTTCCCCCTTTTGACATTAACAAAAAGATTTTTGATAAAAAAACCATAATGATTTTTATTAATTAAGGGAAATAGCGGAGTACATAACGAAAGCATATTAAAAGATGATAAAATAAGGAAGAGAAGAAAGTAGAGCTAGAGCTCTAGAAATCCGGGGAAAGATCATTGAGAAGTTGATCTTCGTCAATGTCTTCTTCTTCATCTTCATCACCATCGCCATCATCATCATCATCATCATCGGCTTCTTCTTCTTCGTCTTCGTCCACCGCGTCGTCCCTACCAACGTTTTGAGTCCCACTCTGTTCACCTCCGAAATTTGGTGGAGGAACGTAGGGGACCATTTGAGCGTACGGGTAATTGACAAAGTCAAAATACCCGTGAAGCTCACGGTTCAAGATATTGACGTTGTGTGCCGTTTTGGGGACGTTGGTGTCAATCCGAGAGAGAGTGGCGGTCAAGGCTGCTATTTGCTCGGCGAGAGAAGGATTGGTCGAAGTGGTGGCGGTTGAGGTAGTGGCTCTCGGTTGGCAGCGAGGACGAGGCTGTGGGAACGTAGCTTCATCGGTTCCCGGGTGGAAGGAAGACTCGTTAATCTCCCAATGCTTCGTCCCTTTGCATTTCGGCCCGACGTCCGTCTTGATGTGGTACTCATCAAGGATCGCCATGACGAAAAGAGCATAGGGGAGCGGCCGGTTGTCGGAGGTGGCGTTGAACATGTGGATCATCACAAGTTTACACCAATTGATATTGGCGTTGTGAATCATCGCATGGATCGTCTTCATGTGTTCTTGGGAGAGAGTGGTGTGGTTGAACTTCCTGGGCTTGAGGATCCGTGTCAACACATAGAAGATGAATCGAAACACGGAACTCATGGAAGCAATCGTAGGGCGCCGCTGTTGGGGAGTGGGGACAAAGTGTCGGATGCCCACTTCCTCCAAGAGGGCGGTCTCGTTGAACCGCGCTCCTTCTTCTCCGACGTAGAGCCCGAGATCCTGTCCGTCCGGACGAAGCCCTGTGAGAATTTGAATGTTTTCCTCATTCAAATAGATGTCCACCCCGTTGACATTAGAGATCAACGCTCCGTCCTCATCCTTTTTCAAGTTCGAGTAGAAAGCTCGAACAAGAAAGGGGTGATAATTGACATTCTTGATGTAGAGGAGGTTGAGGAAGTTTCCACGTTCAAGGATGACCCGTGCCTCTCATGGAATGGAATCGTGAATGAAGCGTGCGGTGGAGAACCGGGGAGGGAGAATTTCCCGGTGCTCAAACTTCTCCGAGAACCTCGCAGCCTCTTCGTGGTCGTTGAACCAAAGGAACGACCCGTCAAGATACTTGTGCGCCGGTGGTGGAGGAGCCGAGGAGGAGGCAACGTTCTTTCCGGTGCGGGAGCGCTTTCTTTGTCCGCCTGCCATTTGATCAAGAGAAAGAAAGAACGGCATCGTGGTGGATTGCCCTTCTCCTAAACCTGCGTATAAGTTTTGAGTAGAAGCCATTGATCGTTTCTCTCAAACGGTTAAGTCTTTCAGAGAGTAAGGCTCTGATACCAATTGTTATAATAAAGGCCCAACGCTAGAGGGGGGGTGAATAGCGTTTGAAACAAAATCGCAGGAAATTAAAACGAGAGCGTTAAAGTAAAGAGCGTAAGGAAGGAGCACACCGAATTTGATCCTGGTTCACCACAACGTGTGGCTAATCCAGCCCCCCGAGAGACTCTCTCGAGCTACACTAACTCTGTTAAGCTTAAGGGTGCTTAACAAACCGATACAACTTGCGAACCCGAGTCACACGAGCCTCAACACCTTTGCTTGGAGATACCGCACTCCAAGACTTCTCACGAAGGAACAAGGAACTTCCTTCGANGGGAACAACCTCCCTTAAAGTGTATGAAAACACTTAAACACTCAGGAATAAGACTCTCACAAAGAGTAGATATGAGTGAACTAGTAAATGCTCAAGAACACGACAATTTCTTCAAGAATTGGCTCTCAAATAGCTAAGAAAAATAGGAATGCTTATGCAATGAAGGAGTATTGAAATGTTGAAGAATTGTGTGTAAAATGAGAGGATTTGGGTGCCATTTTATAGCTCAAAATAGGATAAACCCGTTGCTAAAATTTCCAATAGGATGAAGACAAATTTTTCAGAGACACAGGGTGATAGTCGATTGTCAAAGCTTGATAATCGATTATCCAAAGATTCCCTGTCCAAAAATTTAAAATTCTATCCGTTGGAGGACAACGGTAACCCAGATAATCGATTGTCAACAAGTGATAATCGATTATTGGTCCTCTCAGAAGATTCTGGGTTTTGGCTGCAAAGACTGATAATCGATTATTGCATAGCTGATAAGCGATTATTGCGTGCTTCAGAACTTTGGAAGTTCAAAGCTGCAGGGGCTGATAGTCGATTGTCACTAAGGTGATAATCGATTATCACCCAGCTAAAGTCTAGCCAGCTGAAACCCGTTTTGAAAAACCGAGGTCCAAAAATGAAGTGTTCCCAAAAGTAAAAACCAGGTTTTAAAAATATTGTATATGGTATAAAATAGTGAAAACAAGACTTGTTTGGTAAAAACCAAGTCTCCAAGGTCGTACAATACGTGCGTACGGTTTTGACCGTTTTTCACGTGTTAAACCGATTGACCAAGATACAAAAGTGGTTTTTATAAAATGATTATTTGGGAACATTTTAAAAAATGCTCAGAGGTAAAAACATGGTTTAAAAAATTGAAAACCACGGAGTTGGTTCGGGTGTCGAAAGCCGAACGCCGACTTAAGTGGTAAATGTTTGTTTTGATGCACAAAAAATATTTTATGATTTGTAAAAATTGTTTTGACTTTTTGAGAACCGAGACTTGAATTTATTGTCGGTTTTGATCACAAAAGACCGACTCGACTGAGTCTTCAATTCTTGATCTTGTCCTTGAGTCTTTTAGGTCTTGTTCCAAGCCATTCTTCACGCCTTGAGTTATTCAATGAAACTCTTTATATCTACGGTGGTTTGGCAATTATCAAAACCTGTCACAAATGAACACGATTTTAGTTTATCGTACAAAGTGTGTTCCAACACTTCTGACTTCATTTCTTCAATAGATTAATACCATAATCGATTATTTTGCTCCAATAATCGACTTTTACTTAAATTAATCGATTATTTTGAGTAAAAATCGATTATTGTGCTGCTTAACTCAATTTCTTCAGCAAACGAAAGTCTAATCGATTTATTAATGAAAAATCGATTTTGCATCGTCTTCTACCTCAAGCGAACTTACGAAAATGTCATTTTTAGTCACCAAACTTCAATAAAAGTATATAGAAATGTTCTCCAAGGTTCATAAATCATTTTGGTAACATTAGTTCATAGTTTTAACAACATTTTCATGGTTTATGATTCTTGGTTCTTCAAGTATGTCAAACACAAAACTCAACCAAACGACCGTTTATGAACGTAGAAACGATCTATATGAACATTCTAGTCACTAGATATATCTACGGGCTTACCTCGAAGGTAAATGAAGGTTTTGAAGATTTTCCGGTGAAACTTCATGTAACACCCCAATCCGTCTAGGTCTGCAGCCCCTTTCGGACTAAAGTATTAACTTGGTAATCGTATAAAATTTAACAATTTTCAAACACCTTTATTTATCGCAATAATATTTTTCATACATATACAGTACGGAGTATTCAACAATATTGCGGAAGCGAATTTAATTTTTACATATCATAAATCATTTCAAACTTGTCACATCCATTCCGACAATCTCGCCCCATCTGCCGCCAGGATGACATTATGCTTTCTATTTACCTGCGTGTAGCAAATAAAACACACTACACGCTTAGCGGTAAAGCTGAGTAAGCATATCTAATGTGTTGAACATCCATATAAACTGAATCTAAATTCATAATCAAATCATTTGATATCATGCACACAATGTTCATTTCAGACATTCACAGTTTTGGTATTGTTCAGTTCATATCAACACATTTTATTCAATTCAGGTACTTTTTCAATAGTGCTCTTAAATTATTCTTAATCTAAGGCCAAATAATAACAATGCTCTTAGCTATTCTTAGTCTAAGGCCAGTTCATAACAATGCTCTTAGCTATTCTTAGTCTAAGGCCAAATCATAATTTCCATAACCACATTCTTAAAAGGCAATTATTAATCAAACACTTAATCTAAGGCCAAATAATAACAATGCTCTTAGCTATTCTTAGTTTTAACAACAATTTCATGGTTTATGATTCTTGGTTCTTCAAGACGACCGTTTATGAACGTTGAAACGATCTATATGAACATTCTAGTCACTAGATATATCTACGGGTTTACCTCGAAGGTAAATGAAGGTTTTGAAGATTTTTCGGCGAAACTTCTGGCGATGATTACTCCCCACTCCAGCGACTTCGGCGGCAACCAACAACACCAGACTGCTCCCTTCACTCTTATGAACACAATGGTAGAATTTTCCAGAAGATTGGTGCAAAATTGATAAGGATGGAGTATCCTTATATAGAAGAAGAGAAGGGGAAGAAGACATTGGTAGCTGACTCATTTCTACGTATAAATTCCTTAGTGCGCAGGACGGCGATTCTAATTGATCTACACGCCGTTCCCTGATTGGTACCAATTTGGTTCCATTCAGGGTACACTTTTTGGTCCAACTTTCTCCGAATTGAATTCTGTTCGCACCGTTGCGATCGGACAGTTAAACTCTATCCAACAATATAATTTTTATATTTATTTGCAACACTTTTTCCGACATCATATTTTTGGGTGTTTGACTTTGACAGTCAAAATTGGTTTAATTGACCTTTCTCATAAAAGGTTCTCTCATTTAATTCATATCAATTATAGCGACGAGAAAAATAAGCAAAAAATGGCTGAAATGATTTGTGAAGAAAATTTTCCATACATGTTTTTTGAAAAACTTGGATTTATTGATTATTGTCAAAATGCATTAAACCCTCAAGAAAGAGGTTTTTCAAGAAAAATAATTAAGAGAGAAATTATTAGACAATACAAAGTTTAAAATATGAATTTGGCACATTTTCTTCTCACTTTTAATTCTCGTGTTACTATTTGTTATGATATTTGGAGTGAAACATACCATAATTTGTCTTATATGGGTGTTACTTGTCATTGGATAGATAGTGATTGGATTATGCATAAACGTGTTCTTGCATTTCGTGATTTCAATGAATCTCATAATGCTGAAAATATTTTTCTATTGCTTAAGCGTATTCTCCGAAAGTACAATTTAGTTGATAAAGTGTTTGCATTTTGTTTTGATAATGATACTAATAATATTGCTGCTATTCCTAGACTTAAAGAAACTTGCCCCCTACTATGAGCATGGGTAGATTTCTACATCAAAGGTGTGCATGTCATATTTTAAATTTATGTGTTCAACAGGGATTAGAAGCTATGGGGGGAGTTTTGAACAATATTAGAAATGGAATAAAAAAGATTTGGGGTAGTCTGTTAATACGAGAGCATAAAAGTTGTACTGTAAATCTTGGGATAGAAGACCAATAACATTTGCTAAAGATATCACCATTAGATGGAATAGTACATATCAGTTGATTGCACAGATTCTAAGCTACAAAGACAAACTTGCTGCATTTCTTAGGAATGAACTTCATTATATAACTCAATTGAATGAATTTATTAATGTTGAAATAGAAGTTTTTAATAACGCAACTCTTACTTTCTCGCATGTTTACCAACCTACTACAAACAGATTTTTTAAAGAGTGTGTTACAATTGCAACATGTTTTTGTGAAAGCTTATCTGATCCAGACTTTTACCCTTATGTCTCTCTATGAGGGATAAATGGTGTGCTTATTTTTTGTATATTCCTGATATTTATAAAATTAATGCACTTGTTTTTTGGATGAAAATAATTATTACTACAATCATTTAATAGGATGGACAAAAGAAAGAGAATGTTATTGATCTTTTTGAAGCTTTATTTAAAGAATTTCAAGGAATTTACGGTAATGTACCGGAAGAAACAACATCTCCTCCACCTCTCAAAGCAAAAAAAGGTTTTAAAGGGATAGCCGGTGGGATTTTGGCAAAAAAAGGTAAGCGTGGTCACACTTCGACGAGTTCAGGTGGTACAACTGTAAGGTTGCACAACAAACTTGCTATGTGCCAAGGGGTGCCATGCGATTATGACGACGACGACGTGGACTTTGACGTCCTCGAATGGTGGAAGCGGAACGAACACATGTTCCCATGTCTCGGAATGCTAGCTAGACAAGTTTTATCCGTCTCGGTATCAATGGTAGCTGTGGAACAAGAATTCAGTTCTAACGGAAACATTCTAACCGACTACTGAAGTTGTCTAAGCGCTGAATCGCTTGAGACACTTGTTTGCAGCCGAGATTGACTCTTGGCAAGGCATCGAGCTCAAGAGTCAGGGTACGACATTAATTCTGAACATTACATGAATGCAACCACATATGAAAGCCCTAGTTCTAAGGAATAAGTTATAAACTCTTTTGAAAAAATTATCCAAAATAATCCCAACTTTACTCGGTCTTTCAAAAATAATCCCACCTTTCACTGTGATGCATAATAAACCCAACTTTACTGAAATTTGCCAGTTTTGAGTCGCCGTTAAGTTTCTAACAGAGGGATAACGGAAATGCTCGTTTTAGACAACAAAATGAAGGTTGGGATTATTTTTGATGAATTTTTGTTTTTTATTTTTTTTGAAATTTTTATTTAAATTTTTTGAATTACTTTCAACCTCCATTTCTTTTTCTTTTTTAAAGATTATTCTTACCTTAGAAAAAAAATAGATATAAAAAATAATGAAAATGAGAAAAATAACTAAAACCATTCAAAATTAATCAAATAAATAATGTAATCAATAGAAATTAAATAGAAACTGGTAAGAAATAAAATAAATATATATGGAGTCGTGGGTTTAACATTTTACACACTATACGGAGTCTTAATGTACTACTTATTTTTTAAAAGAACAAGCCGTCCGGTAAAGTTGGAATTATTGTAGATAATTTTTTTTAAAAAAATAAGAAGTGATATGTTAATGCTTTGTATAATGCCTAAAATATTAAAACCCACCCGTATATTTTTATTTTACTTTTTCCAATTTCAAGTTAGTTTCCATTGATTACCTTATTTAATTTATTATTTTTGTATCATTTTAGTTACATTTCTCATTTTTTCATTTTTTATATCTATTGTTTTTATTTTTTAAGCTAAGACTAATCTTTAAAAAAGGAAAAAGAAATGATGATGGAGGTAGAAAGTAATTTAAAAAATTTAAATGAAAATTTCAAAAAAAATAAAAAACAAAAATTCATCAAAAATAATCTCAACTT